CTGTTTTGAATAACTACAAAAATATGGTATATATACATGTACATATATAGAATATAAATAATTCACTGTGAATTATATAGGCATTGAGAAGATCTAGCTTTGATCGTTATAAGCAAGAATAGAATAACTCATTACACATATATTGCAATGAGTCTTTCCTATATTGTATTAAACATAGATTTCGTAGCTACAATTTTGAAAAGTGATAAATATAGTTTCGAAAAATTCCTATTTTAACTTAATTTTCAGTATATAGTTTATTTGCGCTGCTTACTTATGCAGTCTAATTTATTTGAAAGTTGAATTAAAAACTTATGTTAAAAATTAATTTCTTATCTGGAATTTTGAAATGAATACCTAAAAAATCCAGAAATTCTCAAAGAATGTTTAAGATTTCAGTAAACACCCTTAAAATTGTTATTATCATATATTAATCCTCAACTAACTTCGTTAATTAACTACACCACAGAAAATTCAATGTAGTCATCAATACATGTACATTATCACATTGCACTATTATTTACAAAATAGTCAACTCTCTTATTTTCAAGTTGATAATGCAGACATGCTTTTCACATAATTATAACAATAACAACTTTATAAGACGTTCGACACTTTTTGAATGCTTTAAACTAGTGCATTTAGTTTGTAGTTCTTTGTGTATATATAATTTTGGAAAATGATCTAAGTTTCTTCAATAATGCGTATATATATAATGGTGTTCCATTTTATTGACGTAGATTCAAACAACATGAAATAACATTAAATTTAAAAAAAATGTTGAGAAAAGTTATACGGCCAGGAGAGAGATAAATAATAGTAAAATCAACATTCTCGAAAATTATTGTTCGAAATTGTTTTTACAAAGATTCTTCTAGTTATTCTGCATATAAAAGTATTAAAGCACAATTATAAAAAATTAATAGTTTCTTTTAGTTTCAAAATATTTTATATTATGTTAAAATGTATCAAAAAATAAATAGATATTAAATATGTATCTCGCAAATTATTCATTTTTTTACACTATTATTTTTATCTGAATAAATGGAAGAATCACATGTAAAAAAATCACACAATCTTATTTTTTTAAATGGCGATGACTTTTATGTGATTTTGAAAAATCGAGTATTGCAAAAATTAATTTTACCATATTATTTGTCTCCTTTTAGACCATATATTTTTCCTAAACATTTTTTTATAAATCTAGCCATTTTCATTATTTTGGAGTATATCAATTAAATAAAACACCCTGTACACGCGCCTCTTACGTTCTTATAGATTATTCTGTATCGTAAACGCAAAAATTATGTAGTTTATATATAATTTCGGATGAAATGCTATTTAACTGATAAACACTGATGACATATATCGTCCTTCCCTTGCTTATTTCTTTGTCAGTTAACACAGAAAAATCATTGAATAGCGATATTTTTGCGTTTTGTGAACCAAACTGTGTATTTTTGTTAATATTTTCATTTTACATCAAGACTATATTTTGAACATAACTCAAAAAAGGTTTTTCTTATCACTTTTTTTTACCTCTTCGTCAATGATGGGATTGGCTATAATTGCATCATTTTTTATACTCTACAATTTTTTCGGTATAATAGCAGTCGCGACTGATAATGCAGTAAGCATGTTTTCCCACTTTTGAAATTGAATATTAGAATCCTTATTCTTTCGATTTTCCTAATTTTCAACGTCATTTATACTCTCTAATTTCTTTAAAGTGGAATCTCACTGTAAAAATGAAAATTAAGTCAATCTTGTAAAAGATATAATGGCTCAATTTTCAATCTTTAACAGCGAGATTTCACTCTTCAGAGTGACAATTCACTCTATAAGTTTTCCATAGTAGATGCATTAAATACAATTTAATAAAAACTCTTTAATTTTTATGTTAGACTTATTGATTAAATAATGTAGAGTAAAATGCTTGCTTATTGCTCATTTACAAAATAATTTAGATTGCAAAAAAATACTAACAGTTTTAATCCTAGATGCTGCGCATCCAGGATTAATTTTAACCAATATTATAATTTTAACGAATTTGAGAATACAATTTGTCTACTTTTTTTGCAGATAACGGATTCTAATGTGGAGCCTTCTGGAAATGACGGTTAATATGACTCTTAAATCAATCTTTAAGAAATATTTTTAAGAAATATATTTTTGTGCTGCAACAATGACATACCTCAAAAAATGTAGTTTTTCTGATAATAAATTCCATTCTTCTGAATTGTTAAAATTTTGTAATATTAATTTTGAAATGGTATATAACTCATTATAAATAAAGAAATAAAATTATATTCTTTTAAAATAATTTTTTCTTTTTTTATATTTTTGTTCTTAATCTGATAATTAAAAAATGTCAATTTTTTAATTATGTCATTATTGTAACAAATAAACAATATCATCCATGCTTTCATTGAAAAAATAGCGATGTTCTCTGTGAAACTACTTTCGTTTTTTTTTTAAATTAAAGAAAAATGCTTAGAATTCCATTTTTCAAAATATTCTAAAATTTCAATAGGTTTTTTAGAAAAAGTTTTTATTTAACATAAGGAAAACATTATTTGAAAACTGAGGATTAACTCTTTAATATCATATCTAATTTCTAAGGCAAGAAATCTGATGATACAATTAAAAATTACGTATCAATAATAGACAATACGCTATATCATGTTTTGGCATTAAAAATGTAGAATATTTTATAAAAATATTATAGAGCAAAAATATTATTTCGAGCGATTGTATAATCTGCGTTGGAGGTCTTTTTCACACTTGGCGGACGTCACATGACGCTGTTTTGAAACGTATAAATGCTCGAAAACTTTTCGTTGCTTCTATTGTAATAACTATCCCCTTTAAGACTTGAACATAACTTATAAAATATCCTAATATAATTTATGAAGGAACCTTGCTTTCTAAAGGCTTTTCTGAGTTGCTGAATTAGATTCTAAAGCCAAAATTCTAAAATTCAAATTTTAAAAAAATGATCTGATTATTGTGAATTTTGGTTTTAGAAAATTCTTAATATCTCTGAATTTGAATATAGTCTGAAAATATTGAATTTCAAAAAGTAATAATTAATATAGAGAAAAATGTCATAAGGCTTATAATTAGTGTTTAAAAGTTTGGAAATTGGACTAACCATTTACATAGTACTGGTAAACTTCAAATAAAGCGAAACTGAAAATTTATAATATTACCTTACAATTAAAAACTTTCTAATATCAAGTTTTATGGTAATCAAATTATTTTTTAGGTATTCTGTCTGTTATATTTTATCTGATATTTTATTTGTTAATTGATATAAATATTACTATCATTCGTATTAGAATTAAATCAGTATTTAAAAAAATATATTTATTAAAAAAAAAGAAAATTATTTAAAAAATTAGAACTTTAATATTTGCAATTTAATTCCACAGTCTTAATACAACTTTCTTTTTCTAGTATAAATGATATTCAAGTAGAAATATTAAAAATTTTGTTAGTTCCTTTCGGCTTAATAGAAGTTGTCTAATTACTTCTATCATTATTAAACAGAATGTAAAAATTAATAAAAATTTTGAGAATATTAAGTTTAATACTTTAAACAATTTCTGAAATATATTGTTCAGATCTAAATAAATAAATAAAAAATCTTAAATTTTTATGTTTAATAGTTTTTCTTTAATAAAAGAAATCGTTAAATTTATCATAAAAACCGTTTTTAGGTCAGAATCTTTTATTAACAGATGTCACTTAAAATCATATTTAAAATTTAAAACTATTTGATAATCCTTTAAAATTCCATAACAATTACAAATTTCTAATAATAACGAGCATCACGTGAATTATGTGTTTCGAGCTTTTTTAAGTAACATTTTCTACCTTAAACATTTTCTAAAACCACAGAAATCCCACAAATTACATTACAAATAGCATTATAATTACTAATGCTATATAATATCAATTTTTATTTAGAGATGTTTCGCGAGAATTTTTATTGTTTATTTTATTTGCTGTATTCTCCTCAACGTTAAAAATCATCAATATCTTCTTTTAACTAATTATTTTCAGTTTCTTAGATGACATATGTGTTAAATTTATGTAACGTAAACAAAGTAAACTTCAAATGATAACTTTCAAATAAATAATTTTGCAGGCAATTGGTCAACTTCATGTATCTTAGGAGTTAAATACGTTTCAATAGTTTTGTATACCAGGTAAAGGCTTAAAGTGGATATCCATTATTAACTTATTTCTAATACCGCTTAAATGTTCGCATTTTTACAGCGATATTCCTAATGGAAAATTTGTCCAAGTAAACGAATCTTGCAATTTTTTAAATTCCTCTTCATCGGTTTTTTTTGTGACTCATGGATTTATTTCAAATTATTCCAATTATAACTTATTTGTTACTCCTCAATTGTTAAAGGTAAATTTTTTTATTTTCAAGAACAAAATTAAAACGCAGAATTTTTTTCTATAATTTCAAAATCTTATATTGTACAAATAATATAAAAATATTGTAAGATTTATAATAAAAGTATTAAGTAAAAGAATTTTTTTTCTCTGTAGAAACAATATGCAGTATTTTCGCTAGATTGGTCTGACGCAGCGTGTTATAATGACCCAGCCGTCTTAAATCTGCTTGAATATCCCTTCGCAGTACGTAACACTCGTGAAGTTGGTAATTACTTGGCAAGGTATGGCTATTTCGTGGTGTTATGTCAAATTGAATAATTTAAAAAAATGTACAACGAATATCAATTAAAATATTTTTTATTGCGATTTAAATAATTTTCTAAATGCTATGATAATACAGTAATAAAATTAAGTAATACTGATGATCAATGTAATATGTAATATGTAAAATAAATGTACCACTTATTGAGGTTTAGTTTTACACATTTGTATTTTAACAAAAGTAATAATAATCAAGAGATAATTTTAACTGAATAAGAAATGCGACATTTTTTTATTTATAGTATAAAATTTTTCTTTTAGCTATATTAAATCAATATGCGATACATGCAGCGTTCCATTCAAAAACATCGCACTTATAGGCCACAGTCTTGGTGCACATATAAGTAGCTTTGCCGCAAAAAATCTCCAGACATCGGGTTATGGTAAAGTTCCGCTTCTTATTGGTTCCGATCCTGCGGGACCTCTTTTCATGCTTAAAGGTCCCGAGGATAGATTTTCTGACACAGACGCCGAACGTGTCATAGCTCTTCACACATCTGCTCTCGGACTACAGAAATCTCTAGGTCATCTCGATTTGTGGTTCAATAACGGATTAAGCCAACCAGCATGTGGTGGTAAGTATTATATTTAAATTGAAAATAAATTATTTAATATAGGAAAATGTCGCAAAAACAATAGCTAACAGAAATTAATTATGAATAAAGTAAAAATTTTTGTTTTTTTTTTAGGCCAGATAATCGGTA